GGCCTCTATGGATCATAAATAAAGACAAGGCAATTGGTGAGTCAACATTTTTCTCTTTTTCTTTTTCATTTGATTCCTACCTTAATATTTTCTCATGTCATTTACTTTGAGAGTCAACTAAAATTAGTTCAACTTGAGGTTCACACTTCAGATTCGTACATTATAAAAATAATTTATTCACTGAGAAATTTCATGTTAAATGAAACTAGGTAAAACCTCTTTATTTATTTTTTTTTTGTCAACAACAATCATAATTATAGTTTAATACATTAAATATTTAAGGGGAGTTTTGAAAAAAATATTACAACACACAAATTCAATGTTATTAACTGAATTAATCAATATTTTTAATAGGCGCGAATTAGTTTTGAACTAAAAACGCATTTAAACCTAAAAAAACTAATTCCTGTTTAATCAGCATTAATTAAACTTAATTTATGATAGTATATTGCTGATATATATAAGTAATAAACTTATAAATATAATAACTCCTTGTCCTACAAGGATGTTGAATTTATAAATATAATAACTACAATATTTTTTTTTTTTTACTTGGGTATCAATAGATCATGGCATAGAAGAGTTCAGTAATAGAAAATTATGTTAATTGGAGTAAGACCAAACGTAGTTTGAAAGTTGAGAATTTGAATTGTCCACTTAAGAAATAATTCAGGCATAGGTTTAAATAATGGTGCATTCTAATCCGTCTCCCCATACGCAGTTCTAAGGTCTGATACTATAAAATATAGAAAAAATAGGGTTTGAGATTAATCTCTATTGTATAAATCACACATAGGATAATCTATTTATAATAGAGAGATGTACAACTAAAAAGAATCACTGAAAATAAATAGAGTAAATAGAAGATATTGTTTGATATTATGGTTAACAATATCTAACAATATCTTAACAATATTAAACAATATTTAAATATTATCTAATACTCCCTCTCAAGTTTGGAGCATACATACAAATTGTATGTGACAAACTTGTTACAAATATAATCAATTCTAAGGCTTGTAAAGACTTAGTAAAAATATATGTTAACTAATCACTTGAGTTAACAAACTCAGTCTTGATGTTTCCAGACATAATTTTTTCTCGATGAAATGACAGTCAATTTCAATGTGTTTGGTCTTCTCATGAAAGACAGGATTAGAGCTAATATGAAGTGGTGTCTGATTGTCACACACAAATGTCATTTGAGTGACATCTTCAAATTGTAACTCTCTAAGCAATTGCTTGAGCCAAACAAGTTCACAAGCAGTTGAGATCATAGTTCTATATTCTGCTTTTGCACTGGATCTTACCACAACACTCTGTTTCTTACTTTTCCACGAGATCAAGTTACTACCAATGGAGACACAATATCCAGATGTAGATCTATCAGAAGGAGATCCTGCCTAATCAGCATCTGAGTAGCAAATAACTCTTGTATGGTTATTAAAATCATATAACAATCCTTTTTCAGGAGATTCTTTAATATACTTCAAGATACGAATGACTGCATTTCAATGATCTTCGCATGGTAAATTAAGAAATTGACTTACCACATTGACTGCAAAGGAAATGTCAGGACGAGTAACTATAAGATAATTCAATTTCCCAATTATTCTTCTATACTGCTCAAATCAGATATATCCCCCTGATTTGGTAGAAGTTTAGTATTAGGATCCATGGGTGTATCAACAGACTTTGAACTCATCAAACCATATTTCCTCTATATTCAACATGGTATCTAAAGCTTAAAGGTTATTTTGAAACTTTTTCGCCTTTGTTCACTGTTGGAGTCGCCACTGTTGTCGTTGCCGGTTAAACTAATCTTCCACATCAGAAAAGAGTTATCTTTGTTACTGGATATTATTTGATAGTGTAAAAGTACATGTCTAGAAAGGTCCTGACAAGGAAATACTTAGTATTTAAGCGTTTCTATTAATGACACACCTCTCTTTCCTAGGAACTTACCTATTGTACTCGTTCACGCCGTTGTCACCGCCGCATCCGCCGTCGACGCTACCGGAGCAGTCGTCGGAGCCGTCGTCGGAGTTTCATTTTTTACCAGTGACATACGATTTTGTTCGTCTCGATCAGGTGACCACCGTGCCGTTGAGATCACCACTATCAGAGTTGGTCGTCCATTATCTCTTGAGTCATTTAGTCTCGACAAACTTGTTTTGGTTTTCTCGTTTTGGATATGTGCTTTGTGGGTTAATTGAATTACTTTGGATTTTTAGTGTTTGTTTTCCCGCCCTTCATGACTTCTTCCACTCTTTCTACTACTTCCAATTCTGTTAATGATTCTTTTGCATTGACTATGATGACCGAACTCGCCCTCGCAAAGAGGAAAAAATGCGTCCTAAGTGTGAACATTGTGGCAAGCTAGGTCACAAGATTAACAAATGTTATGCATTATATGATCGTTATCCTCGATCTGTTGCAATTGTTTAGATCGATCTTTCCCCATCTTTGTCTGCTGGGGATTCTCCTTCTTCTGTTGCATCCGACACACTTGTTATGTTCAAAAAATTTCTTAAATGGTATAAGGATCAACAGTCTTCTAGTTCCACTATATTTGTCGCACACATAGGTACATATTTTGTTGGTCTGACCCAATCCTCTTCTCCTGGTCCTTGGGTTTTTTATTCAGGAACCACTAATCATATTACTGGTAACAAATCTTTGTTCTCCTCTTTATCCTCTCCTAATCCTTTACCTTTTGTTACACTGGCTAATAGCTCTAAAGTATCATCTTATGATTTTTGAAACTGTTAAACTTTTTCTTTCTTTAACCATTGATAATTTTTTTTATGTCCCTGGGTCTCCTTTTAATCTATTGTTCATCAATCGTCTAACTCGTTCTCTTGATTATGTTATTTCTTTTACCAACAATTATATGTGTTTACAGGATCAGAGTTCGAAACAGGTGATTGGCACAAGATGTGAGTCTCATGGTCTTTATCATCTTCGTCCTTTTACACATGTTGGTGCAGTTATGGATTCTCCCTCTCTTCTTCATGCTCAATTAGGTCATCCAAGTCTTGCCAAGTTACAGAAATTTGTCCCTGCCTTGTCTAACTTACCTAATTTAGCATGTGAGTCGTGTCAATTAGGCAAGCATAGTTGTGTTTCCTTTCCTCGTAGTGTCACACGTGGTGCTTCGTTCCCTTTTGTCGTGGTTTACTCTGACATTTGAGGACCTAGCCGCGTTAAGTCTACTTTAGGTTTTCAATACTTTGTTACTTTCATTGATGATTATTCTAGATGCACTTGGTTATTTTTTATGAAAAATCGTTTTGAATTATTTCATATATTTCAAAATTTTTTTAATGAAATTCAAACTCAGTTCGGTGTTTCTATTAGAGTTTTGTGCAGTGATAATGACTGTGAATATCTTTCTCATTCTTTTAAACAATTCATGGTTTCTCACGATATTCTGCATCAAACTTTTTGTACTTATGCACCTCAACAAAATAGTGTAGTTGAACGTAAAAATAGACATCTTATTAAAATAACTCGCACTCTTTTAATTAATGGAGAGGTTCCTCAACATTTTTGAGGTGATGCTCTTCTTACTGTATGTTATTTCGTTAATCGCATGTCTTCTTCGATTTTAAATAAGAAAATATCTCATTCCATTTTATTCCCTCATGAACCTTTTCATTCCTTACCTCTAAAAGTTTTATGGTCTACATGTTTTGTTCATAATTTAAGTCTTGATCTTGATAAGCTTTCTCCTAGATTACATAAATGTGTTTTCTTAGGATTTACAAGATCACAAAAAGGATACAGTTTTTCTCCTTCTCTTAACCTTATTTTGTGTCTGCATAAGTCACATTGATGAGTTTTCCCTTTATTTTTAAAGTCAATATTCACCTCTGTCTCCGTCCAATCCTGTCAAAACTCTTAATACATTTAATGTTCTTGTTGTTTGTGACCCTCTAATTGTGTTTTATTCACTATTAGTTCTTGTTCTGTAGTCAGCTTCTTCTCCACCACTTTTTCAGGTTTATAGTCATCGAAATCAATCATAACCACCACTATGTAACTCCACTCAAGTGCCAACTATTTTGTCTCCTCCGGATCTAACACTATGTGACCTTCCCATTACCCTCCAAAAAGGTATCTATTCTACACGTAATCCCTCTTCCCATTATTTTGCTTTAAGTTATCATCGACTGTCATTACCTATAACATTATACAAATAAGTAGTGTTACTTTACCTCTTCTAACAACATTACAAATTACACTCTTGATCCAAAAGTTTTCTCAAAATTTGAAATCATCTCTTGGAAACAATTGTTTGAGGATTATAACATCACAAATATACCCCCACTAACACCTTCACATTATCATACATAAAGTAAATTTGATACACAGCATTGATTACAAGATATATCCATCATATTTATGACCATACATTAGAATGTGAGTAAATAAGGGAATAGTCGGCATATATTTCACTCTATCAGTTGAACCTCTTTGCTGCATCTTTGATCTGAAGAATAATGTGATGTCACCTTCTCCACTGAGGTTGAATCAACTTATCTGAAATTGATTATATGCACATAACACAGCGGTGAATGGAAAAAAAATGTACGGCTTCAAGCAGAGTTCACTGCTTTGTAAGCACTCCACATCATTCAGGATAAAGAGAAAATGAAAACAACTGTTTGTATTTATTTCAAGAAGAGTTCTCTCTGTAGGGATCCACAGCTGCCGATAAGAGTTAAAAATTTATTTTTCATTCTTATCATTATTTTTAGTAATCTAATAATTAAGATTAGTTTCTATTCTAAACAATTAGATTACCAAAAAATTAGTGATGATGAATAGAAAATCTTTAACTCTTACTTTTTTTCGAGTGAATGGAAATTGGATCTCTCCTCTCTCTATATATGTCTATGCAAGTCATTATAATTGTATTTCCAAAAGCATTTTTTACAAATTCACAATCTATTGGAATGAATGGTAAGAAGAAAAGGTAAAACCAAATGTTCATCTCAAGAATACGTGAATAGGGTGCAAAATCCTAAATTCTTACCAGTTCCATCCCTTGAAGATGATAGAGATCTATCAGTCCTTATCTTGTTGTTCAAGGCAGCGAATCTATCTGATCGTGGAGAGAACGAACCTAACTTGCCACTGAGCGAAGATGAAAGAGAAAGCCGCCGAGTAATACTACTTATATCTGCCAAATCACTAACAGACCGGGGAGAGCATTGACCTCTTAGCTTGGCTTTTGTAGATTCAGTGGGAGCCATATAACTAGGACGTCTTGGACTGTTATTATGCAACACACTTTCATGATCTGTAAAATTAGCAGGCAGGGATGCTCTTCTGTGGAAATTCTTACAATTTACATTATTCAACTCCTCAATGACTCCTCCATCTTTACTATTCCTCAAACTAGATTGAAAGGGAGCATTAGTATCATTACATGACCCATTATTATCATGCTTTTCTGCTTGCTGTCCAGGACTTTTCTCAAGGTCATACTCTTCTGACTTTGACACTACCAAATGTTTTATCTTCTCTGAAGAAGCAGTGGCATCTTCCTCTGGAACATCATTGACTTTTGTATGAACTGAAACTTTTCTTGTGATGTGTGTTCTCTTCTCATTAGCAGCCTCGGACTTATCAGAAACATTCTGAATTTGAGATTTCATAGAACTCCTTTTCTCAAGTTCTTTTTGTGTATGTTCCTTAGCTGAATGAAATGCGAGGTTGGAATCCTTTTTTGGATACCGTTTATGTTTGTTGGAATCAGAGACTAAATCATTACCAATCCTCGAAGCAGGTGCTTTCCTGGCATTTCCTTTAATTTGAGAACTTCCATTTTGCTTATCAGACACTGAATCAGGTTTCTGCGCTTCTTGAAGAGGTACCCAAAAGTGTGATTTCGTCCAACGGTCAAGCCATTCCCAATCCAACTTAGATTCACCAGTATTATATTTGCGATGTGGAGAAGCAGCAGAGCGTGATGAAGCCAGAAGCTGAAAGGCATATCTTATAAGTTATTATCCAAAACAAGGTAAGTTTTAAAACAATAAGAGGCAGGGACAAGAATAGGACAAACATCCATACAGTCAGTGTTATGCAATTCATAATTCATATCAGTAAAAGAGTTTAGCGATTGACCTGTGAAATGCTAAGATATAATTCATTTCAATAAATCATATCAGTAAATGAATGTAAGAATTTAGTAATTTGACTTATAAAACGCTGAGGTATAAACTTACAAATTAAGACATAGAACATGAGGTTTGCCATTTCAATAAACTACTTCTGTGTATACTAACAAATAAGAAGTCATTGAATGGATGGATCTCAAGTGACTTTCCTCCTCTAATTCTGTCAAAGTTTCATCTTGAAGTATTTCTCTAAGAACCTTGGGTTAAGGGTGCATGCTATTCTTATGCTTTCCTTGAGTTCGTTTTCCCACACTCCATTCCATTTTCCTTCATTCTTGTAACCACCCAAAGCCACCACACCATCTCCATCATACTACATTTCCTTTTTGGTCCACATTATTGTCATGCTCCCCCGAGCATGTAAAAGACAGGAACTTTGAGAAAAATTGTGTTGAAGCAAATAATGAATACAAAATGTGGTGTGTGAAACATGATGATGAGCAGAGCCATATAACTAACCAAATTGAGGTAGTAGATGAAAATCATATAGGATATTTTAACGTAAGAGAAAAAGGACCAAACATATGTTTATTTTGTCCTTGCTTATGGGCACATACTATTACCAGCAAACTAAACAAGAAACAACTGTATGCTAAGAGCACCAACCTTACAATTTATTAGGGTAACAATTTTTCATGGATAGTAAAAATATTAGTCTATAATGACATGTTAATTCTGGTTTTTAGTGAACTGAATATACTATATCATCTAAAGTACAAACAAGAGCAAAGTTACACTTTTTATATTAGACATAAATACTTCATACCTTGTGAACAAAGACATTATCTGAGAAATTCACTGCCTGAGTAGATGTAACTACTCCCTTAAATTTCGGCAATTTAGTATCCTGATCAGAAAGATATTGGAGAAGTAGTTAGTTGAAGCATATAAGTAAAAGAGGCAAGTAGTTGAAGAAGTTCATCTTGTGATCTAAGCTATTTGTAAAGCATAAATTACTATAACCTTCTCATGCTATTGTAACATCTTTCAATATTGGTTAAATGAGAAACCTCTAAAATGTCTATTAAAAAAATTATTTAAAATAAACAACAGATGATTGTGCTGATATCATTAGTTCAAGTATGTTTACCTTGAAAATTTTCTGGACTGCAAGGCCAATATCAGAGTGCCTAACCTTGTAACCACGGGCCAATGCTTGAAATCTAACTATTGCCTTCACACATAACAAAGCAGAAATAGCTTGTCGTCGAACCAACTGGCCACGAATATAAGCTTGCAGGGGAATGATAACCTTTAGAGTTTTATATGTTCCTCGCGCCTTCATTTGAATAAGATATGAATCAGTTTATGCATTCATGAAATTTACACTATGCAGTGATAGTTTATAAATTATGTATCAAAGCATATTGCAAATGCATGGCTTATTTATTTATAAAACTTCAAAGCTATCAGTCAATTCAATTTCATGCAAAAATCATAAGCAGGAAGACTAAGTGCATTTATAATCACAGTATATCATACATCATATGTATCCAATTCCATTTCAATTCCTAGCAATAACAACTCAACAAACAGGATGCAACATTTTTAAAAGAAGAGTAACAAATTAGTAGAATACTTTCAGGATAAGAATCAGAAGAAACATTTAATACAGATCAGTATTGGATAAAGATACCTCCATAAAAAAAAATACTAAAAAAAAGTAACATTTTATTTCTCAAAAGCCTTCTAGGAGATGCAACCAGGTTGTAGGAATACACTAAAAATGCAATTGCTAAATTCTACTAAAAATTACGAATGACAGAAAGATCGTTAGGCAGAGATCAACTTTATCATCACTATCTTCAGGAAATTTCACAGAAAAGGGTGATCAAATACAGAAAAGAAAGATTAATGAACATTAAGCACCAAAAGCTTAGAACAGAAAAATGTGGTCACAACAATTTGCCGGAACAAAATGGTTTCCTTAATAATTTGTACGAAAACACATATGGACTATATAGAAATTTGATAGTGCACATTACTTCCAAAAGATATTGTATAAATGTAAGATGTGATACCTGATAGCCTCTAAGGGCAGCCTGAATTATTATAGCTGTTTCTGTTAGCCTGCTTTTCTCATCATGGTCCCCAGAATAAAAATTAGCAAGAGATTGTGCATTGGCCTGTTCATCTCCAGTTGCAAGAATTACCCCATCATTTGATGATATACTAATTACTTCCTTTTCTGATAGCTTTCGTTTAGTAACATTTGCTCCAGATATAGGAGTAGATATAGATGCCTCGGAAGACACCACAAGAACATCCTTGTTACTAGAAGGTTTCTTTACAACAACATAATTGAATTCACAATTAGAACTTGCAGGTTAGAAAGTATAACCTCTTACATTACATTAACAACCAATAAACACCAGAGTAATAAATCTACACATAATTCAGAAAAGTTTTCGCACTTTTGGCATTCACGTATGATGGAGAATTTGGATTAAATAATAACAAAAGGCACTTTAATGCTGCAGGTAAATTTTAACCAGTAAAAGATTCTGTCCTTCACACACCCTTTTATTTTTATAATAATATAGACATTGAGAATGATCCTTCATAAACAAAGACTGATGCCAATCACAAAAGCCAAAAAGAAAAACTTACATAAATATCTTTCTCTCTGGAAGACTTAGACTTTGACGACGATTTCTTCCCCAGAAGCAAGTTTCTGATCCATTTCCCAGGACTCTGTCTTCCCATCTCGGCAAATATAAATATTTCAGAAAGCAGTGTTCAAATATCAAAATCTGCAAGAATCATATGTAACAGAACAGAACCCTTTAATTAGGAAACTTTCAATAAAACATTTAGAGCAAGATAATGTCTATTTTCTGATCGTGTCTTCCAACATTATCTTCGATCAAGTAAAGACCATGAACCACAAACATAAAATCAGAATTAAAAGAAAAAATCAGTAATTACGTTAGCTCCAACACATTGTAATTTCCTCTCGCATGTAAGTAACAGACTATTATTATTATCATTATCACAATGTAAACAGTGCTGCACAGAAAAATTACCGACAGTAATTGAAAAAAAAAAACTGAAGAAATCTGCAGTTAGTTCCTATTTTCTTATAATAAGGACAATAAGTAGAAGTCAAACATAAGCAAAAATGGTTGTTCTTGTTCTCAATGCTCAAAGAAGAGTCACCTTCAGAATGCACGCCTTCCCATAAGAAAACAGTGAAAGTAGAAAAAACACAAACGTTTGATGCCAAGAAGAAGGAAAGGAACAGGTGGAGAGAGATAAGTAGTGGAATGGAATACATGAATGAACATGGCTTTTGAGGAATGACAACGATGTGTGAGATGCGAACTGGGAAGAGAAGAAAACTTAGAAAGAAAATATTAATTAATTAAAGAGATAGATAGATAGATAAATAAATGAACGTTGCAGTCATTAAGGAAGCGACAGATATGACAGTGTCCTATGGAATTGAAGAGACTCTGCAATGCAAACTGCAAGATACCTCCCTCGAGGTTTCATGTTTCAAATCTAACAAAATACATCCACGTTTTTTTTTAATATATATTTTTTTGGTCCCGAATATTTTACGCTTACTATGTTTTTAACAAAATTTAAATTTTTATTTATGCGTATAAGTAAAATTTTATATTATCAAATAATACAAAAATGTGTTCAAAATATGGTTTATTGAAATATTATTAAAACAATATTATAATAATTGAAATCCATCTAATCATTTGTCAGGTCAAGATTGAGGTGTTTTTTGTCATGTTGCAATGATGAATACGATATTAATAAACATGGCCGAATAAAAAAACGCCACTGCACTACGAGTTGAAAATGATTTTTTTTTTTTATGTATTTTAACTCCTGCATATTTTAGAACTGTTACCAAAATTATCTCAGTTTTTCAATTTTTATTACAAAACATTTTAAATTCTGCTATGCACATGAATTTTTCTAATAAATAATGAACAGAGTCCTAACAACAATTTTAGGAAAATTGTGACATTTGAAGTGTTTTCTTTTGGTGTTGGATTGGGGCGGAGGGAGACGATTTGATGTAATTTAGAATAAATGGTATGCTTCTTGAGAGGGTGCGGAAGACAGTAGATTTAAATAGATTTATTGTGAATATAAAAAATTGAATGATATTTTTTTTAGAAATTAAAATATTTTTATTGTTAAAATGGATAAATTAAATAAAATAATAATTATGATATAATTAAATATAAGAATGTTAACTAATTTATTGTATATTATATTTAAATATATTAATATTATTTTATATATTAAATATAATTAAAATATTGATCATAAGTTTTTTACTGCATAGGAACTATACATAAATTTTTGTAATATATAACTCCATGCAAATAAACAAAACTCCATGTAAATAATATAAAGTATAAAAATAATTTTGCATATTTTTTATTTATATTTTTTAAATTGGATTAAAAAACGAGAAGGGAGAGTGAAAAGAAATGAGAAGAAATTTTATAATTGATTTCAAATAAAAAAATATATATTAATAAAACAATTTATTAAATTTCTAAAACATTCTTAATTAAAATTTGTTGTCTCGAGTAACATCAATTGTCTTGTGGCGGAGGCCAGGTGGGCCGAGTCGGAATCGAATCGTAGCGCTTGGGTCGTTACTCTTAAGTAAAAAGAGTTGCGCTCGACTAATAACTATAGTTTTTGGCCTAATGGTAAGCGTTCGATCCTAACAATTGGTATCAAAGCCAAGGTCACGAGTTCGATTTCAGGTGGGCAATCGTTAAGGGGAGATTGTTGCGGGTTGCACAATTGTCCCGTGGTGCAGTCGAGTGGGCCAAGTCACTAATCAGTGGCGCAGGCTAGATGGGTTAAGTCACAATCCAAGTGATTCCTCGTAGGACAATTATCGAGGGGAGATTGTTGCAGGTGGTAGCATCAATTGTCTCGTGGCGAGGCCGGTGAGTCGAGTTTACTCTTCTGTAAAAAGAGTTGCGTTGAATAAAAATAAAAATAAATTATTTTAAAGTAATTATTTTTAAAATTTTAAAATTATATAAAAATAAATTATTAATTATTAATTAAAAATCATGTATACAAATTTATTTTAAATAAAAATTAAAAAAATTATAATATAATTAAAAATTTATAATAACAAATAAAATAATAAAAAAATTAATAGAATACTTTATTAAATTACTAAAATATTTTTACTTAAAAATTAATAAAAATAAAAATAAATTATTTTATAAAAAAGTAATTAATTTTAAATGTTATAAATAAATAAATTGTTAATTAAAAATCATGTATAAAAAATTATTCGAAATACTAATTAAGAAAATTAAAATATAATAAAAAGATTCATAATAAAAAAAATCAATAACATTATTACAAAAATAAATTTGTATTTAAATCTAATTTTAATTTTATTATAATAAAAAATTATAAAATTACATATAACTAAAAATATAACAATATATATAGTAACATTAACTTATATATAAGAAATATATTAATATTTTTTTAATATAATCGATTATTCATCTTTATATAATTGATTATTTATAATCTATAGTCAATTATATTAATTTATGTATTCCATGAGGGGTTTTCTAAAATTTTATGATTCATATATTTTTTAAATTTTATCATCTAAATATAAATTTTATGATAAATATAATTTAATTATAATAGAAATATAATTGATTGATATATGATTATATATATAATTAATATAAATTTATATTAAAAATAAAAATTTTAATATAAGTAAAAATAATATAAATAACTAAAAATAATATATAATAATAAAAAATATAATTTAGTTCATATTTATTATATTGGTTATATGGAAAAAAATGATTATGAATGATAAAATAGAAAGAATTATAAAAAAATTGATAAAAGAGTAATATATATTTCATCTTGAAAAGTTAACTTTCTTCGTATTTCTTCTCCTATTTTAAGGTAAATTATAATACATAGTCCCACCAAACTTTCTTTGCAAATCTGCTTATATCCATAGATACAAACATGATGTATCCACTCAATTCCGTCTCTTCATTTCAAGTAAATTTTTTGATCCAAACATAATTAAAAATTACTAATATTACTCAATTAAAATATTATTTTGATACTTTTTATTTTTATTGAATTATTTTAAAGTTTAAAAATGAAATTATGATGACATCGTGCATCTAAAACTTTAATAGGCACGTTAAACTATCCTCTTTATAATATTAATAATAGCTTTGTCTTGATGTTTTAATTTTACTTTTATCTTTTATTCTTCTTATTTCTTGTATTCTACATTTTATTTCTTCTTTTTTTATTTTTCATTTTTTTTTCCGAAGGAAAAACCACTATAATGAGAGTCATTAAATTTATTGAGTAAACTTAATTATTTTGCTTAGTAAGATGTAAAAGAAAAATTTTAAGTGGTTTTCTTGACTTAATCTATTGATCATCCTTTAACCTATTCTTAAGTTATTTTCTATTATGTTTGGTGTACATACCAAGTATATTCTAGATAGTATTAGTTGTATTCTGTTATGCTTTTATCTTTTCCGATGTCCTTGTTGTTGATGTTTATCCAATAGATTTCATTTATATATATATATATATATATATATATATATATATATATATATATATATATATATATATATATATATATATATATATATATATATATACATTGTCCACGTTAGAATAAATAGATACAACAGAAATAGATACAACATATTTTATCTTTTCCATTTTGTCTTTCCGCTCTTGTTCTTTTCTCTTTTATGGTATCAGAGTTCCCACCTAGAACTCTGCTGATATCCTTTTACTGCTACCATGGCAAAAATCTATCTCTGAATCACACGGTTCTAACCCATCTCCTTTTAATGATCCCAGTTAATATCCATCTAGTCTCTTTTACATACATCCTAGTAAAAACTCTTTCTATGTATTAGTCTCACTTGTCCCCTGGGGTGGTAATTACCACTCTTCGTCTCACCTCTAAAAATAAGATAGGATTTCTCACTAGTGCTATTTCCATCCCAGTTGTTCATGATCCCACATATCCTTCATGAGAGCGTTACACCACCTTGATAATGTCATGACTTATAAATTCTGTTTCTCCTTCAATTGCATAAAACATTATTTATTTGGATCATGCAGTTGATGTTTGGAACAATTTACAATAACGTTGTTCTCAAAGTGATCTCTTGCATATTGTAGGACTCCAGGAGGATATCTATGCCCTGAAACAAGGTTCTTTCACTGTCATAAACTTCTTTACTACTTTGAAGGTCTCTTGGGAAGAACTTGACAATTTTTATCCTCTCACACCATGTAATTGTCAAGCACGTCTTTACCATCAGTAGGATTTTATCATCCGATTTCTCAATGGTCTTAATGATATATTTCATGTTATTCGTTCTCAAATCTTTCTTATCGATCCTCTACCCTCTATTAATAGGATTTTTTCCATGGTCATTCAGAATGAAGGACAACATGTTCAGTGGCGGATCTTGACCATTGATCTTGGAGGGGTCAAATAATATATTATTAATAAATAATAAATAAATATAAAAAGAAGTAAGAAGATGAAAGGGTGGGAGGATAAAATTATAAATATATACTTAAATATATAAAATGATCATTAAGTTTGAGGGGACAAAATCATAAATTATATGAGAGTTACAAAACAGAGGAGGG